CACTGCCGTCGCTTTTCGATATGAAGAAAGGCGGGAAAAGTATGTGGTTTATAAATTTTGAGTTGATATTGGGCGACAGGTTAATATTATTATATCAGTGATTTGTTGATTCTTTTTAATATTTTATAATTTTATAATTGTACAATTTTCTTTGAAAAATGATCGATTTTATCTGTTTTGTCAATTTTTGGAGGCGATGCGAGAACAGAAGATATTAACTGATCATTTTTATGCTTTTACAGTTTTCTTCTCTATACTAAAAAAAATTTTATTTTGAGACCACCCTAATACGTAACCTTAAAATTACTTTTAAACTCAATTCAGATTATGGTTTTGTGTATATTGCCTCTGGTTAAAGGAATTGTTGCCACCCAGACTTGCAATAAACCTAACGAAGGCGTTTGAGCTACATTCACGCAGGTGAATTGGAGGTGTTTTAAACTGTTGAGTTGGAGATTGATTTGATAGCTTTCTAAACTTAACTATTGCTACAAAATTTATGATTAAGAACTATGTTGATAAGTGTGCTATCTTTATTGATTTGGTTTACTTTAACACTTTTTCAAAGAGACAATTAACTCTTTGAAAACACAGTTTGCGTTTAACGTTAATGTACGGTCCATTCCAGTGGGAAAACTACTGAAGACCCAGTACTTTTATTCAGTTAGTGTACTTTTAATGAGCAACGTGTTTGATACATCAATTATAAGATAAACTTTTTCTCTATCTAGGATCTCTAAAGAGGATTAAATCTTTAGTGGAGGGGGAATTTCAGCTATTCATTCCCATGATTGCATATATTCAAATGGTTAAGCTTCAATTTTTTTTATTTAAATGCTCTTTTTAAACGGATTGAGTGGATTCAGCCAGAGACATAGATTTCCAGTTTATATTAGTTTTTATTTTTTTATTAATTAATTTTTTTTTAAACGGATTGAGTGGATTTAACCAGTGATTTAAAGGTAGAAGATTTTTATTAAATCAATGACCGCAATCAATTTTAACAGTTCTTACATCATGAAAAATCTCTGATACAGTCAAAGTTCACAAATTAGAACTCTCTAAAGTTCGAATCTTCCAAAAATTAGAATTGAAGTTTGTAAAGCAATAAACGCTCTAAAATTGGAATTAAAAATTTTAATTTCTAAGCGTGTTTTTTTTGTATGGATTTATCTATGTTATTTCTGTTCTTTTAGCAGAAATAGATCTGAACAATAGCATCAGCATAGTAGATATTGAAAGATGGAATGAAGATGTGTTTGCTGACAGATCTTCATATGAATCCAGTAATGATGTTGAGTCTTCAGATAGAAGCGAATACGATATTGTTGAAGTCTTACCACTTGTTTCCAACTCGACAACCATTGAGAACGTCAATAATTGAACGAAATGATGCAACAATAGTGAATTACTTTCCACCAAGCACATAAGCAATTTGCTGGCTCTCCACAACGACATAGTTGCCTCAGATTTAAAAAAACCAAAAAAGCAAATCAATATTACTAAGACTATATGTCACAGAAAGATTAGTTTTAAACTTGCCAATTGTGCCGTCTGCGTCTCTATTGACTTTGAATTAATTTCTTAGCTTTGAACATTATCGCAAGTATTTTTACTTCTTTAATACCCTCCATTTTTATTCAAAAAAATATAATATGTACATGTAATGTAATTGAAATCAAAAAATACAAGTTATATGTATTCCTCCGGAATTGTTTAGTTTCGTTTTCTTATTTTTATTAAATAAAATAAAGCGAAAAAAGGAATTTATTGTATTTTTTTAATGAGTTTTCTACATTTTTTATTTATATTCGAATAAAAAATTTGTCCAGAAATTAGAATTTTGCAGCAGTTAGAATTACCTTAAAAACAAAGTGGTTCTAATTTGCGAGCGTCGACTGTACTATCGATAATTATTGCAAAATTTACAATCCGTTTGAAGCTTTTTAAAAACAGGACTGTTTACTGTTTATACTCAAGCTTTTGATGCTAATCAAATCTTGTTATAACATCCGCATTAACAAGGATATAGTCACCAATTGTAGTGTAGCTAAAATAAAAAAATAATTACAAACAACTATTTTACAACAACAACCTGCTAATATTTTAATTATGATAAAATGTAGACGTTGCGGATATAATAGAACAATTTCCCACCAAAAAAAAATCCGAGAGCAAAACATTATTAATACTATAAGTCATAATCTGCTTCTTATTTAATATAGTTGTTAGCATAAAATATCTGCATTACTCTACAGAGAATCCAGAATTCTATTATCTTCTATTTTAAAGTAAGTCCAACTCTCAAGAGTAAGCACTTCATTTATTGTATATTTGATTTCTTTAAAGCCAAACTCTGCGCACCCAAGACGCATACCATAGCCTAAAATGGTCCCAAATTAAATATTTGATATAAACATTTACGTTGGCCCACTTACATTACTTCACATACTTTAATAACATTTTTGTTTATCCAAAATCCTTTTAAAACTATTGCTGTGTATATTTAATTAATTTTAATTTTATTAAGAACTTTTACAGTTGTGTTTTTTTAATAAAAACACACTTTGTGAAGCAAATAAATCATCACTGAATAAATTGAACATATGAAAAAAAGCCGCCGTCTGTCTGTTTGGTTGCTGGATGGTAGCCATTTATCCGCTGTATTAAATCTATTTTTGTGTAAAAAATTTGAACATTCGGTAGCGGATGCCTCCGTGGCGCAATTGGCTAGCGCGTTCGGCTGTTAACCGAAAGGTTGGTGGTTCGAGCCCACCCGGGGGCGAGTAACTTTTTTCCATTTACGTTTGTTTTTAAATTTTTTCTCTTTTTTTGCTTTTGTAGCTTCTTTTTATATGCAAAATAAAATTAATTTTTTAATTTCTATAATATAATATGTATGAAATTCAAAAAAATTTCCTGCTACAATCATTTTTGATTTAAGGTCGAACTTCCATAACTCGAACGCAACAGGGTTTAGAGAGCAAATTACATACAATTACAAAAAAATTCTTTAACTGGAAGTTTCCATAAGTCGAACATTTCTTTGCAGGATGAAAGTTTGACTGTATATGTTTTTATTTTTAGAAATTTATTTATTTTTCTTACATAACAAATAAAGCCTTTATTTGGCAGAATATAATGTTTCTTTTTTAATATTATTTTACAGTGCTGCTCTGGGGATAAACACTGACTAGTCTATTTCATAATATTTGATGCAATTATGACGTGCTACAAATTATAAAGGTCTTTTAGTGTTCAAAATCACAATTATATCATGAACAAAACATAGTCATAAGGCGTAACATAACATAATTTATTAAAATTAATTAAATTATGAGATAGTAATATTATTATTAATAATAAAACAATTAATTTAATAATAAATTATAGTTTTATTTGCTTACTAAATATTCTTGGTTCCAAAACTAATCACAGTGAAGTGAAAGCGAAGATAATTTGCAAGTGATAATCTTTAAATAAATAATTTAGTACATATCAGGTCTGTTTCACGAGCTACTCGTAGTAAAACACAAGTAAAGTCGAAACTGAGAGCGTAACACAAATAAAGTGCCAAATCGCGCTCTTTATACAGGTTTTCATGGACAGCTTTGTGTGAAGTCTTTGTGAGAACACCAGTGCCGCGCAAAGAAACAAAATAAAACTTTAAATTCAAACCAAAACAGCTGATTCACACATAAACAAAAATTTTACTTGAAATAAAATGTAGGAGTAAAGTCTGTGTAACATTTTCAAATTTCGACAGAAATGTTACGCTCTCTTAGATGTTCTCATTTACTTGAAAATTTGCTGGTGAAACGCGCTTGTGTATACACAGTGTTACTCAAAGTTTCTACGAGTAACTCGTGAAACGAACCTATCATATCAAAAAATTTTTCATCTTTGCTTAATTCTTCATACAATCGATGAATTTGTGTCATGATAAATTTGATGGCACAAATTTATTGCAAGAACACTAAATTTTGGATTTCTTTTTCTATATAATTTTTTGACGTTCCACTCATCAATTCAACCATAAAGCAACAACGTCGTCTTTATACCTATTACGTTTCGCCTTCATCTTCCTCTTCAATATGTTAGCAGCCTTACACTTTTAAGTAAATTTGCAGAATACGCCATTTGCTTAACATTTGAACCAAGTTATTTGTATATAAAGTAAATCACAAAATATTACTCTAATATTATCATTCTCACTCAAACCACAAGCATAAAGCACAGAGCACTAGTGTTTGAGGAACAACACCTTTGTCTTGATTACAGCTTTCACTCATTAAAAAGTCTGTTATTTGATCTTTGCATTGCAAAATATTGGGTGCGGGCTATAAAGCGCGAATTATACATAAGATATGTTTTTTGTCAAATCTTTTTGTCGTCGATTGCTGTTGCACATTAAATATATTACAAAATAAAATCATACATGCATTTAAACAATGTTTTCGCTTCCATTTCTTACAATGAATAGAATTTTGCATGTAAGTCGACAAAAATCCGATTGTATACGAAAAACAGAAGCAATTTTGAAGAAGAATCCAATTTTTTTGATTTCCGTCCAACTTTTTTGTCAAGCCTTCAAATATTACTTTACACATCAAATTTGGAACAAATTTTGCATTTCACAAAAAAGTGAGACAAAAAACTCTCATGTTTAATAAGCGCTTAACGATATTCTTAGACAGTAGTAATTGTTACTAAATTTGTTGTAAATTTGAGATTTTTTTTAACGATAATACTAAAATAAACTTCTTAAAATGAAATAAATTTTCGAAATATAAATAAAAAATACACAACGCCAAAATAATGAACATGGAATTTATATACAAATTCTTTTTAAATTTATAATGCGCATATCAAATATAATTTGGAATTGTTAAAAATTTATTAAATAATTCTATTTAAAACTATTGTAGGAGCTATTAAATTACTATCTGCTCACTATTTATGGACTTCGCTATTGTGAATGGTTTTTTCAGTTTGACATAAAAAAATCAAAACAAACATTTTTTCACAAATTTTGGCAGCGCCCAAGATTTTAATTATATTTTATGTCAGTTTTTAAATTAAGATTTTAAAAAATGTTGCCTGGTGTAGGCTTATTTGGCACCGGCCAAATAATGAACGTCCTTGTTCCGCTCCTACGCGAGAAAGGTTTCGAAATTAAAGCAATATGGGGTCGTACTCTGAAAGAAGCTCAGGAAATGGCACAATCTCAAAAAATTACATTTTACACGAATAAAATTGACGATGTACTACTACACAAGGATGTTGGTCTTGTATTCATAGCGTGTCAACCATTTTTACACGCTGAAATCTCAGTGAAGGCATTAGGTATTGGTAAGCACGTAGTGTGTGATAAACCGATGGGCCTGCACCAAATAGACGCCATGAAGATGGTACGCGCTTCACAGTATTATCCTACACTCATATCCTTGGTAAGCTACTCGCTACGATTTTTGCCAGCCTTCACGCATATGAAAAGATATTTGGACGAAGAAATCATTGGGCCAATAGAGTTAGTTGATGTGCGTGTGCAAATCGGTAAATTATTTCCAGAAAAATTCGACTGGATGTGTGACGGGTTCATGGGCGGTGGTGTACTTAATCTGGTTGGGAGCCATATTATTGATTTAGTGCACTACTTGCTGCGTTTACAAGCTGTGCGTGTTCATGGCATCGTCCGTTCATACACCCTCATCACGCCAAATATAAATGGAATACGTCACATATCTGCTCCAGACTATTGCAATTTTCAAATGGAATTGCCCAACGGCATATTAGTCACGGTATCAATATTTACTCACACAGTCCCTGCGAAAGGATTTACGCAGGAAGTCATCATATGTGGTAGTGAGGGTCATTTGGCTGTTCGAGGCGGTGACTTATTTTTATTCAAAACAAAAAGTGGACTACCGCCACAACTGAAAGAAGAAGCACTTTACGTTGATGTGCAAGATTTACATATATCCACATCAGAGTCATTGTTGCCACGCCCCTATATCAAGGGTTATTGTAAAATGATTGGAGCATTGAAAGAAGCTTTTGGCGCCGAGGAAGCATCTTGGGTTAAGGAACCTGTGTTAGCTGCCGCAACATTTGAGGATGGCTTATATGTACAAGCTGTACTCGAGGCAATACACAATTCAAGTAACCTAAGGTCTTGGCAGCGCGTCAAAATTAAAAGTGACACCCCTTCAAATCATGATCAAATAATGAGATTCGCGCGCATGTCCACGATGTGAACGTGACTTGCGTCGCATATTAACATTGTTAATAAATTTAAATTTATTAATTTAAACAAACTTTGTAAATTATAAAAAGCAATTATTAATTTTGGTTTGTATTATTGAAATACAAAATTACATTGCAATAAATCCGCATATACAAAATCTCTGTTAACTATAATTATTTCTAATTTTTCTCTTATGATTAGTGGTGATAGGGACTTGATTAGTATACATAATAGTTTCACGCCTCAATCGTTACTGCCGCACGCTTCTCTTTGATTTGTTTGGCAGGTTTATCCTCAATTTCTTCTGCGACTGGCAATTCATCCAATGGTACTTCCGGCAAGGTAACAGTTTCGTCTTTAGTGACTAGCTCGTCAAGTTCTTTCAATATATCATCCTCATCTTGTCTTGTCAAATTTTCTGAAAGGAGTGCGTCGATTTCTTCTTGTTTTTCTATGCCTTCGCGGGTTTCATCCATTATCTTTTCGATTTCATCTATATTCAACAGAGCATGCACCTTCTTCAAAGCTTCATTGCCCACCTTAAGGCCATCCAACACCTCCTTCTCAATATAGGTGAACTCCAAATCAGCAGCTAAGCGCTGCAAGTTGTCCAGCTGTTTGTCTGTGTTAGATAATAAATTTTCTTGGTATTTCTTTTTGCGTAGCAACAACAAAGCACGTCTTTAGGAAAGAAAGAAAGAAATACAAACAAAATAAGTAATAACGATTGTATTCATTTTAGACTTACTCCTTGCGTCCCATCTGTAAGCACTTTCTAGCCAATTCCCGATCCTTTTCTAGCTGCAGCTCAATCCTCTTCTGATATTGTTGTAATTTGTCGCGCTGCTGCTTCAATTGCTGAATACAGAAAACAATTTGAATATATGAGCAACAGTAGAAATAATTATATTTCTTACCAACAAAGATATATCCCCATCAGTAACACGACTACGTGGTCGTTTGGACTTAGTGAAAAAGGAACCCATAACTGGACAAATTCAAGATGAATTTTTTCCAACCAAAACAAATCACAATTTTGCTTCTTTTTATATTATGCCAACTGTTCACAATAAAACAAAAACATTAGTGAGTAAGTCAGCTGACTCACAAAAATGACTAATCAATAGATAAAAATATTTGGAAAGCAGTGAAAAGCAAATGTCGCTCACTTCGCTTCGACTTAAAAATTTTTATTTCCTTAATTTTTTATGAAACAAAATCTAATTTTATTATGTTGTCAATTTATAAACATATTATATATCAGTTTTACAATGCATACTTGACACTTAATCAAAACAAGATAAACTATTTTATCCTGTACACCTATTTATATTTTTAATGTCTTAATATTTTAAAGTTTTATTCCTCAAACAAAAAAAATTGCTTGAAGAATGAAAATTAATACACATATTGAATATAATTGCAGAATTCATTATTCTCGTACAAAATATTTTTGTTTTTATTATAACCCAGATATATAAGTAATTTGTCTTAGGCCGTGTGCAAGTTTGAGTGTATTGAGGTAAAGTAAATTGAAATTTCCTAGGGATTTTTTGCACTGTACTTATTTATACTTATTTATTATTTTTCTTTTAAAAGTTTTCAAATTTATTTATTTATTTATTAAACACCTTATACAATTTTCACGATGGTAATATCTAATTTACCTAATTTTTATCTAATTTACTCTACTCGAAATTCTGGTAAATACCAACATTCGCTGCCATACCGACATAATTTACTATTTCCCCAATTCACCATCAATTTACTCGAACTCGCACACGGTACATTCAATCTGAACCATTTATAATAACAAATGGTGACGTTTATTATAATATTGCTCCAATCAAATTATTATACAAGATTTTTGCAAACATAACACAGGACTCTTTAAAATTTCGCTTTCGTCGTACTTAACAAGATAATTTAGCAGAACTAATTGATTAAGCCAGTCCTAAATGATTTGCGGCAAATCCAATTGGAAAGCAAGAAAGAAAGTTGATAGAAGTCAAGCACTTGAAAACAAAATTTTAATGCATTGTTTGTTATAATAACTTAAAGCTAACTTTTCTACAAATACTACATAACAATTAAATTTGTATAAAATATTGTTTGTTTCTTTGGAATAAATTTTTATTTAATTCAAAATTAAATTAAAATTGTGCATATCTCAACTCAATTGCATCAGTAGAATTACTTTTATTGCAATAAAGCTATTCAGAATAACATTTGACAGCAAGTTTCCGAACACTTTTAGCTGTCAAATATGGCGTATAAGAATGCAGTAGTGCCAACATTGCGATCAACTTCCTTTTGGCTATTCCTTTTCTCTTCCAACGTGCAGAGTGACAAGTTAAGGTTAGTAAATGCTCGGCAAATTGTTTAGTAAATTGCAATAAAAGTGATATTTATATTAATTATTCAAAACGTTACAGATGACTGTTACAACGGCAAAAAAACCTGAGGCGAAAAAGCTCCCAGCTGTGCCAGAATCAAAACTAAAATTCAACAAAAAGATTTTAAGCAAACGTGCTACGCTAGTGAAAAGAAAATTGAAGCGTGCTGCTGTTGTGAAGCAGCGTCGTCACGAAAATCTGTTGCGTGCCGAAAAATACCAAACCGAATACTTGCGTGCAGAACGTCGCGAAATTAAGTTGCGTCGCTTGGCTAAATCCAGAGGACAGTTCTACGTTCCTGGCGAAGCCAAATTGGCCTTTGTTATTCGTATTCGCGGGTAAGTGCTAACATTGTAAGACCTGACCTGCGTGGAAAAACATTGAATGCAAACAATTGCTGGAAAAAAATCAAAACTTTAAGTGGTTATTTGCTAGTGAAATTCAATTTATTTGTTGTTTAATTTGTAGTGCAGTTTTTTATTTGTTTCAATTATAAATGTGAGTTGTTTTTGTAAGCAAAACGCGCAGATTATGCACCGAGCCATTAACAAAGAGTTTACTCTGACAATTTTTTTGCGACAAATTAAGCTAAATATTGTAATATATTTTATATTCAGCAAATATTTAATTTGGATTTGTTTACATTCAATACACGCAGCACAAATTCACAGTATTTGTAATTTGTAAATTGTGATTAATAATAACTTTTTTTTACAGTATCAACAAGGTAGCACCTAAAGTACGTAAGGTTTTGAAGCTTTTCCGTTTGTTGCAAATCAACAATGGAGTTTTCATTAAATTAAACAAAGCCACCATCAACATGCTGCGCATTGCTGAACCATACATTACATGGGGCTATCCGAATCTAAAATCTGTGCGCGAGTTAGTCTACAAGCGCGGATTCGTTAAACACCAACGCCAGCGTATTCCAATCACCGACAATTTCGTTATTGAACGCAAAATGCGCAAGGTTCATGACATCCAAAGTGTTGAAGACTTGGTTCATGAAATTTACACAGTTGGTCCTAAATTCAAGTACGCCTCCAATTTCTTATGGCCCTTCAAGTTGAACACACCAACTGGCGGCTGGCGCAAGAAGAATAACCACTATGTCGAAGGTGGTGACTTCGGCAACCGTGAGGACAAAATCAACAAGTTACTTCGTAATATGGTCTAAGCACTAGGAGCGTCTAAAGTATATTAACTTCTAAAAGTTTGCTGCTTTTTGTACGGCCCTAGTCTATTAAGAGAACAGTTTTTATTACACAATAAAAAGGAAAATTATAATTTAACAAAATTAAATGCGTGTTCTATTTAAAGTGGAGGCAAGAAATGCTACTTAAGTAAAAAATGTGAGAAGTGTGTGAATGCACTTTAGGATTCACTTCAATTAATTGATAGAGAGATCTGTTGCTCGCTTTTTAGGTCTTTTTGCTATGGGAAAAGATAATGAAAAGATGTTGCAATGCATGTGATAGATGTGGTTCGGTGCGAATCAAAACAATAAAATACTCAGACTTTAAGATAGCACGTGTGATTTGTTGTGTTTTCATAGTCGATGCAAGATGCCGTTAATCCGTTAATGCGTAATACTAAGTGAAATGAAATATTTCACTTTACAAGTTTTAGGATGGAATCCATTAAAATTATAATTATTTTCATTATTCCGGGAAATTATAAATTATTAAATTTGCTAATGGACGAAACTTCTGTTTCCGGCGAACCAGCCATCCTAGATTCAGACAACGGACCTTCTGACAGTACAAGGGAAGGGTTCAAATATTTGCTGAAGAAGTTCCGGTTGTTGCATTCAATTGAAACTTAAATAGCAATGAAATTTATTAGCGCTCTTGGTATTATCATCAGGAGTCTCTTCGTTATATTATAAGTTCTACAATTAAATCTTTGTTATCCCGCACCAATACCTTTTTCCATAAATTCGAATATAGAAGTTTACAGTTTGACTGGTTTTCAGGCCTACTTGTTTTAATAAAACCACTAATTGATTTTTCAACTAAGGCTTTTGTTGCCACTGCTCCTTATTATATTGTATAATGTGTAATATAATATTGCATGTGCATGTTTTTATAATTAAATAAATAGCAATATTTATATATAAATGTATATGTAATATATTTATATATAAATGTATTTATAATATTTTATATATAAATGTATATATAATATATTTATATATAAATGTATATATAATATATTTATATATAAATGTATATATAATATATTTATATATAAATGTATTTATAATATTTTATATATAAATGTATATATAATATATTTATATATAAATATTTTTCAGAGATACACCATATAAAGCTTAAGTATTATCCAAACTTAAACGGAAACGCGTGTAAACCCTCATGTGCTGTTTAAAAGCAGAGGACGTTGCTCCTCGTCCTCGAGAGTCAGACTAAATTCAGAAAAAGTGCAAAACCAAAATTTTAGTGGTAAGATTGAATTTGTAATGCTATCATTTAAGACCCCTTAAAAATAGTTATGGAAAAATGGATATAAAGCCGAGGCTTTTAACCAAGTATGGAGACTTTTAATATTTTCAATGACTACCACAAAAGTATTAAGTTCGCCCAAATACAATTAGACCACACACACACACACACACAAGAAGACCAAATACAATTAGATATTCATTTATTATGATACAACAATCGCGTATAAACAAAATGGTATCAGAAGTCAATAGTTTTGGGGCGAGTGACCAGAAGAACGTTAGTATTTTGTGTTTAGAGTTGAGAAGTAACATCAAACGAGTTCTAAATAAAAATGACTTTCCAAACCCAGTGATCTATAAAGTCTTACAATTCGAAAACATTAGAAGAACAAGAACCAATTGGAAGTCTCGTATGGCTGAACATGAGCACAGCGTGAGACATAAAAAATCCAAAACGGCACAAACCTCACATTTTATTCAATCAAAGTACGGGCCGGATTTGAAAAATATAAAGGTGCTACATCAAAAATTACCAGTGACATAAGACGGATATAAAAAACTATTCTTCAGTATTAAGTATCGAAGCAAATAAAACATATTTTTCAAAACTGATTTAACATTGACCAATTAACCAGGTCAAATCAATTTATTTAAATTATATAAATAACGACATGTGCCTCAATTAAAACCTCATCTAAATTATACTAAAATATCTAAATCATAATAAGAAATAAAAGATTTAAATAAATATTAATATTTATTATAGGGTTGATATTTGAATTCTTCGGGGGAAGCTTGAGACTCTTAAAGGGCATGTTTTCAGGTGGTGAATCGCCTACCAGATATGGGTGGTAGAAGAGAAATGAAATATCTTCCGCGGTCCACACAGGCCGGTGAAGGAAACGTCGTTACAAAACTAAAATTTTATTTCTCGCAGCGTCTGCTCACCAGATAGATACGGCTGAAGCGGATGTCGGTTTTGCAACAAATGTTTTTCTATAAAAGCCTGTAAAAGGCGAGCTTAGTCGTCAAAAGGGAGACAATCCTTAGTAAGTCCCAGCTTTATGCCTATAATCATCGCATGGGAAATTGCCAAATATGACCTATTGATATGAAAATATAAATATGAATTCAAACAATATGGAGGTATTCGAGGCACTTGACACTTGAGGAATCCTTCCGCTCCTGCGGCCCGCACATTGGATCTGCAGGTGCGAAACTCATATATCCGTAACAATAGATCTATTATAGCAGAAACCTCACAACGCATTAACAGAATCGAAATTTTTCCTTTAAATTTCGTACTAACATAAAATCGCGACATGGAATGTACTCACTCTATATTAATGTGGTCGCTTACATCAGGCAGCTGCAGAAATGAAAAGACTTAATATTGAAATACTTGGACTAGCCGAATGCAGGTGGAATAGATTCGGAAAGCATGATCTCTCTGACGGTGAAAAATTTATATACTCTGGAAGAGTGGAAAATTATATACATGCTGATGACGTTCGAATCAATCTTAGCCGAACGTCAAAAATATCCCTTATAGCTTGGGAACATATAAACGAACGTATAATAATGGCAAGATTGTACTCAAGAGCAAGAAACATAACCAAGCTTATCCAAACTTATGCCCCAACCGAAATTGCAGAAGGGGAACGTAAATCAAACTTCTGCATCAAACTTACAGAAACATTATCTAAAGTACCTAAAGGCGATATTATTTCATGTCTCGATGACATTAATGCCAAAGTGAGTAGCATCAACACAAACATCGAACACATTATGGTGCAACATAGTGTTGGAGAAATTAATGATAATGTGGAATGGGGAACAATTCATACATAAGACATCGCATAAACCCATCTGGACCTCTCCAGATGGCCGAACAAAAAACTAAATTTACCATATTTGACTAAATAAAAAATGGAGAAAAATGCTATTAGATGTTCGAGTCAGAGATAAGCTTATTATTTATACTATCTTGTTTCACTACCTGTAACTTGCTAAATACAGTATCATCTATATATTTCCCACATTCTTTAATTAGAAAATGCCTAATTCTATACCATATTGAATCAGGATCTATCCCGCTTAATGCTAAAGATGCATGTTCAGATTAATTTTTTTTTCTTCTTCTGTTTTTATTATATCCTGTCTAAATGGCATAATTTGTAACAAGTGCTAACTTAGATTCAGATCATAATCTGGAAGTTGATGTATTGCAGCGTAAATTAGCAGCAATAAAAAATAATAACAGCAAAAGAAAGTTTGATGTCAGCAGACTTAAACGCTTTTAAGGAAGCATGTAAACCAATACCACCACCTATTCTTAATGCCATCGAAGGTAAATGGGAACATATCAAATCAAGTTTGCTCCGAGTTTGTCAGAACATACTGAAGAAGACTGAATACTGAGAAGCTAAGAAAAAGAGAGATCCAGCGAGTTCTGAAGACCGACAACAACAAGCTATGCTTACCTACAATGCGTTAAATAAAAATGTCAAAAATGCATGCAAAAGAGACAAACTAGCGTGGTTTAATAACCTGGCATCCAAAGGAGTGCAAGTGGCTAATCTTCATGTCATAAAAACGCTATAGGAAATAACTCGAAAACTTTCAGGATATATATAAAATAACTCACCTCCTTTTAAATCGAAAAATGGCGCTCTTCTAACAATCAAAACTGCATAGCTCCAAAGATAGTGTAAATATTTTTCAGCTATGTACACAGCACCCTCAATAAGTACGACCCAGGTAAGCAATACGACTACAGACACCCCTTACATTGCTAACACACGACAAATAAACTTCAATTCACCAACAATTTCAGAAATAATACTGGCTATCAAGAAACTTAAGAATAACAAAAACTCTGGTTACGACAACATACAAGCGGAAATCTAAAAAATCTGCCCAAATCACGCCGCGAAACGGTTGCATCCACTGTTTATTGACATTTGGACATAGGAATTAGTGCCAGAAGATTGGTTAATGGACACCCTTATTGGCATACCGAAAAAAGGCTACCTATCCTTATGCAATAACTATAGAGATACAACCCTTTTTCCCTGTTTAAAAATGTTCTCTAGAGTACTGTTAAACAGAATTCAATCTACGTTGGACGTATCTATCAGACAAACCCAAGCAGGATTTCACGTGTCATTGTTGAACAGGTCAGCGAATGGCAGGCATCGGTACAGCTTGTTTTTATTGACTTTCACACTGCTTTTGATAGATTAGACCGGAACAGCAAATAGTGACAGAGGCATAACACAAAAGCTCATAAACTTAATGAAGGCGCAATATACAGACTTTAAGTGCAGAGTAGTACCAAATGGACGATATTCTAAAAATTTCAATACTCATTCAGGCGTCAAACAAGGGTGCTTGCTTTCACCGATCCTATTGCAGGGGTGCATCGACAACAAATAGAGATTCTTCCCTGGAATTTCCAAGAACATCTGGATGAAATCTGCCTACTGTCCGTTAAGCTCCCCCTATTGCAGTCGAAAATTGACGATTTTTGTTAAGCTGCGAATGAAGTAAATTATTGTAAATATTTAATGGCTCTATATTCTATGCACTTAGCCGTTTCAGGATCAGGACTTTAAAATAAAATAAATACATGGGGTAAGGCTTATGACTCCTACGCTCTAAGACTCCCAAGAACTCTACTTTACCAAACACTAATCATAATTAGAGCAAGAATGACTACCCGTCATGAAATGAATATATGACTTACAATGAGCTATTTAGATTGTTGCGGAGAAAGGTCAAGGCTAAGTTAGTTAGATTATGTTGGCCATGATGCAGCAGACATAAGTAAATATTAGAAATTGAAGGACTCTTGCGAAGGGTGAAAGCAATGCCGAGCACACGTAAAGACTCAATGTGGGTTGTATAGTAAAATATAATGTTGATGACGATAATATTTATCTTGTATATGATATCGAATGCTATTGCAGTTTCATATCACACATAAATAAATTATTTATTTATTTATTATAATTTCAACATATTTTATTTTAGAACATACCGGTATGAAACGAGCGTTTTTTTGTGAAAATAAAACACTAATTATTAATAGGAAAGTAAAAAACATTTTATTCAAAGTATTGGCCATTGCTTTCTACACATTTTGGCCACCTTTCTGGCAATTTGTGGATACCACGCCAAAAAAATTGTTCGTCTTTTAAAGCAAACCAACCAGACACCCAATTTTCGACCTCCTCGTAGGAATCAAAGTGCTGCTCAGCCAATGCGTGTCCCATCGATGAAAACAAATGGTAGTCGGAAGGAGCCAAGTCTGGTGAATACGGCGGGTGGGGTAGCAGCTCCCAGCCAAGTGTTTTGATTGCATCCTGAACCCGTTTTGCTTTGTGTGCAGGTGCATTGTCATGGAGCAGAATTACCTTGCCGTGTCTTCTGGCCCATTCTGGTCGTTTCTCGATCAATGCATGGTTCAAATTTATCATTTGTTGTTCATAGCGACCAGCATTGACGGTTTCACCAGGTTTTAGGAGCTCGTGGTACACCACACCTTTCTGGTCCCACCAAACACACAGCATTGTCTTCTTGCCGAATCGATCTGGTTTTGCAGTCGATGTTGATGGTTGTCCCGGATTAACCCATGATTTTTTCCGTTTAGGATTCTTAAAATAAATCCATTTTTCATCGCCAGTAACAATCCGATGCAAAACCGATTTTCTTTCGTGTCTTTGAAGCAAAATTTCACAAGTGTTTTTTCGGTTTTCCATCTGTCTTTCATTCAATTCATGTGGCACCCATTTTCCACACTTTTTGATCTTTCCCATAGCTTTTAAACGGTCAGAAATTGTTTGTTGTGCAACATTTAACATTTCTGCCATTTGCTTTTGACCCAAAGTGTCATCTCCATCCAATATCGTTTGCAATTCGGCGTCTTCAAACTTTTTTGGCGGTCTTCCACGTTCTTCATTTCTCACATCAAAATCATTATTTCTGAACCGTTGAAACCATCTTTTGCATGTTGCTTCTGATAGAGCATGATCACCATATGCCTCGACAAGCATTCGATGCGACTCTGCACCACTTTTCTTCAAATGAAAACAAAAAATTAATGCTTTCCGCAAATCATCACTTTCTGGTACAAAATTCGACATTTTTAACACGATGAAAAAATATGATGTTGTCTGTTCAATGACTTGATGTATACTAAATATATTTCACACATGTCATAGCAAACAAACAAAAAAAATAAAGGCTCGTTCACAACAAATGTTCCCTGTCGGAACATTTGTATCTTTACGCTCACTTCATACCGGTACACCTAGTAGATAAAATAAAATAAAAAAATAAATATATGAATCATAAAAGCATTTATATAAACAATAAAAAGTTTTTAAATAAATAATCAAAAACATTTAAAATTATCTTGAAATAAATTATAGATATTTTATTGAAATTTTATTAAATTGCTCTTTTATACAGATTTTTTATGAACCTTGATATAGTGAAATGAACAATTGTTTTTCATTTTAAGAAATAAATAAATAATTTTCATTTTTATATAAATTATACTTATAAATTTTTTTTCAAATTTAAACAAGTTTGGAAAGTAGTTAAGCACAGTTTAAAATTAAAAAATTAGCAGAGGGGACAGAATTCGATTCTGTGTTTTTTTTGTTTTTTTTTTTTGTGTGAGAGAGTTAAAATAAATAATTATAAATATATTATTAAGCATAGTTTGTATAACTTAGATTTAGTAAAAAAAATTATAAATATTACAATTAAATATATATATTTTTTTTTGGATTTTTTAAATTAAGTATGTCTTTAAAAAATAATTAGCATAATGTAAGTGGTTGCAGTTTTAAATTAATTTAAACAAAATATTATTGAAAAATGGAATTCAATTCAATTGATTATAAACGTTAATGTTGATTTTAAAGTTAACAATCGTTTATAATAAAATCTCAATTAAACATATTTCTTATAGCCTGTTTTTTTTTACCTTTAAATATTTGCATTTTTTTACTTATTCATTTATTTTAAACAATTTCAACTCTTTTATTGTTGGATTATTGTTGCAATTCTACAACGTATTTGTATGTACTCAATTATTATTATTAATATAATTTTTAAATGTGAATTTTTTAATTTTCATTTATATTAAATGTTCTTCCTTATTTGCATGACTTTTGCTTTTTCCTTAATGTGACTGAGATGAGTACTACTTTTGATTGTTGATGTGGCACAGGTACTTATGTTATGATCAGCAACAAAAGGAGAAGCTTCAGCTGCAGTTGGAAACTTAACTCATGGCTACGTGAAGCTGAAGCGGCTACGTGGAGTCCAACGGCCGCATCGCTTGCTCAACGACCAGATAAACTATACCGTGTTGCTCAGTGCCCAAATAAACAATAAACAAAACAACTTTTAATTGAAATTTAATGCAATAGTTCAATAGTTTCAAAAAATGTGCATACAAATATTTAAAAATTAAGATTCATTACTTTAATGTAACAAATAATCACTAATTACGAAAATAGAATAGAGCAAAAACGATAATCAATGATAATATCAATGAGATTTTTTATATTATAAATAATATTTTTATAAATTAAGTTTTAATATGAAAATTAAAATGTAAGTCATTATTTAACTAATTGTAAAAAAAAATTCTACGTAAAAATTATGCCTCAGAAAAATTTGCATGGCAGTCGTCGTCAATGTGGTAAAAATGCCTATATACAGGGTGTTAGTTTATTAATAATAATGAATTTCCGCAGTACTTATCATATTAAATTATACTTTTAGAACATTTAAAAAGATTAACATAAACAAAAAATTAAATATTCGCAAAATCAATAACTACATTGAGTTCGTTGTCAATTTTTTGGATTTTTTAGATTTGAATACTGGCAAATAATTATTAAAATTTTAAACTTCAATTACATAAAAAATATATAATAAAATACTGCTTACAAAAATCAAATTTTTTAATTTGCTTCAACTTTAACTGAATTACAATTTAACACAAGTGCAATGTTAACATTTAGCGCACCCTGTATATGTGTGATTAATATTTTTTTGATTTTAATAATTTTTATTGTAAATGATTCAAACGTTATTTACTTTAGGTTTTGTTTATATTTGTCAAATTTTAAGTTACTGCTGCACTTAGTAGACGGCGTCTATTGTATTGCTCATCCACAAAATTTAATATTTATTTTTTTTGTTTTTTTTTTTTTAATTTAGTTATTTTCCTTTTTTAATATAAAACAAATGTCAATGTATCTAGATGATGTGTTGTCTATTGATGTCCGTGAGAAAGATTTATTAAATTACTTTGCACTAATCGTTGACCCGAGTACTCTTCTAAATTGAATGGCTTGAAGTTCTTTAACTGGTCTGATTCGTTGCAATATACTTTAGGCGACCCCTCTGAATTTACCTACAAAAAAAATTAATAAATAAAGTGGGTATATAAAAGTTATATAATGTATAAGCAATACACACTAAATGAAAATTTATGAAACTAAAGTATAATAAATCATCGGCTTCAGGAGCAGCCTGAAGTGTCGTTTACCATATCCATTAGAGTTTCACAATTCGTAAGGAAAGTTTATCAATTATAAAAAAAGGAGCTACTCGTCTATAACATATAAATGCCGTTCACCTCTTCCTTTAAAATTTGACTACACGCAAGGGAAGTTATCTAAGTAGAAGGATATTGCCAAGAGCGCCCGGGTCTATATCCCGGAGCTACTCGTCTATAACGACTAAATGCCATTAACCACTTCCGTTAAAGTTGGCTATTCGCAAGGAAAGTGGCCTAAGTAGGAAGGAAGATATTGCCAACAGCGTTTTGGTTTATATGCCGGAGCCACAAGATTATGACGACCAAGATGAGGTCATTCATTACTTCCGACAAAGTTTCATTATTCACAAGGAAAGTGAATCAAGTAGGAATACTAAAGCAACGTAAAAAACATTTATGAGAAAAATGTTCAAGTTAAAAGACAATGGCTACAATGCCATAAAACTTCTCCAGAAGACAACAAAATTGATGAAAGAGTGATAAAAACGTTAAGTCAAAAACTGATTCTTGTTTTATTTAATTGTAAGATTAAATCATTTTATTACGCTACCATACATACGATTAGTTTACTAATAAAATAAAATAAGAGCCATATTATATTAATTAAAATATAGTTGATAGATAAACATTAGATAAGTTTTACTAAAGATTACGAAATACCATTAAAAGGTTAAGAGGACTTCAAAGGTGCGTACTTTCAATTCCATTTGGAACAAGGGATATTTGGTACTAAAACTTTTTTATCCGAACAAAGTCTTTAATGGATATGTATAAGAAAATAATAATACTGAGCTGCTGTTTTTTTAATGTCTATAAAATTTGTAGACTATGATTTATAGATTTCTTATTAAAAATTAAAAATAAAATCGATAACTTTTTTTTAGTGTTGAATTCGTATGTAAGCAAACGCCAGTATTATTTGAGCTACAAGGTGAAATATCATGGTGAAATATCTATTTAGGAAACGAGATTTTAGAGCACCAATGTTCATATTTATATATAGTCTACGACAATTATTAGTGGTGAGAAAACGCTACACAAAATATCTCATAAGTGCCCCACGCTACTCTTACTATATTCCTATTACTAATTACAGTAATAAATCTGTAGTAATAGTTTTGTTTTTATTATTAAAAGAGAAAATAGCACACTGCAACCTTTTTGGTTCAGTGAAATCCACATAGTGGTATAATACCTGTATGGTAGATAAGACGACAGACTTATACTCTGCATTTCACTAATGCAGAGTTGTGTTCTGTTGTGTAAAGAACAGTGTGTTTAGTTCAAAAACCAGTGAAGAATCTGAGTTCAGATTCAAAAATCTTGTTGTTGACAACTCGAATGAGTTATTTCGACTGTTTTAGATTTTTAATATATATATGGAGGAATGTATAACATACATTGTGACCGAAAGGTTTTCGGAGGTTCTCATTTAAAATTCGCGCGCTGTATATTTTTCGATATTTTAAGTTTATGTAGTTTGCCAGCACTGTCCTTAATTACTATGCCAAAAATGAGCGGGATCTGTCAGACAGTTCGTTTACGGCAGCTGTTGAAACCAGTTCACCTCAGTAGTGCGTTGCGAAAAAAACAATGGAAAAAAATATTGAACAAAGAGTTTGCATCAAATTTTGTGTTTCGAACGAAATTTCGTGTGCAGAATCGTTGCGAATGCTACAAAAGGCTTATGGGGAATCAGTTTTATCGAAAACTCAAGTTTATGAGTGGTACAAAGCCTTTCAGGACTGTCGTACGACCGTCGAAGACATGCCGCGTTCTGGACGACCTTCGACCTCTACCACCGACGAAAACATTGAAAAGGCAAAGGAAATCGTGTTCAAAAATCCTCATGTGAGTGTTAGAGAGATAGCACGAGAGCTAGGCATCGGTCGTGAGATGGCTCGTTTGATTTTGGTGGACAATTTGTGTATGCGACGTGTCAACGCTCGGCTTTTTCCGATTCACCTCAATTTGTTCCAAAAACACCATCGTGGACAGGTCTCGTTAGACATGCTTGATCGTGCCAATTCCGATCCAACTTTCATGGAACGCATCATAACGGGTGACGAGACATGGGTCTACGAGTACGACATGCAAACAAGCCAACAATCATCGGAATGGAGAGGAAAAGACGAGCCGAAACCGAAAAAACCACGCCAAAGTCGCTCGAAAATCAAGGCAATGCTGATTGTTTTCTTCGATATTCGTGGTGTGGTGCATCATGAATTCGTCCCTGAAGGACAAACAGTCAATAAAGACTATTATTTGACTGTTTTAAGACGTTTGCGTGAAAATATCCGCCGTAAACGGCCTCAATTGTGGAAGGATAATTCATGGATTTTTCATGACGATAATGCTCCCCTCGCACCGAGCCAACATTATCAACGATTTTAAGGCCAAACATTCAATAAATACCATCGAACAGCCACCGTATTCACCTGATCTTGCACCGTGTGACTTTTTCCTGTTTCCCAAACTCAAATAACCACTCAGAGGAACGCGTTTTGAATCCATAGAAGACGTAAAACAGAATTCGCAGAGGGAACTCAAAGCCATACCGGAAAGCGCCTATAAAAAATGTTTTGATGATTGGAAGAAACGTTGGCATTTGTGTATCGCTTCTAATGGAGCATATTTTGAAGGAGATAAAATAAATATTGATGAAGATTAAGAATTTTGCGTTATACATTGTGACCGGAAACTTTTCGGTCACAATGTATAAGATAGAATATACAAAGAAATTCACATAGCTTTTTAGCACTTCCCTTTAAATTTATCTCCACAACTCGAATTTTTTGCTTTGCCTTTATATTTTCAAATACTTTTGTCAGTTACTTTTCTAACTTGCGCGACATTATTGGATTCTAACTTTCAGCGATACTAAGATGGCTAACAACTGCTCTTATTATTGTAAATTTCCTTAATGCGATGATGGATTTGTGCTTATTATCAATGAAGCAGTAGACCTTCAATCACAAACATGAGTAAATTTGAAATGTTTGTGAACCCCGGAAAAAATTAATTTAATTATTGAAGTAGAAAAAGGTGACAAAAAGAAAAAAGGTATAGCCGAAAAATATGGAATTTCTTGTGACACCTTATCAACGATTTAAAAAAATAAGGATAACTCAAAAGAGAGTTCTGTAATAATAAACGTAAACGGATTACAATATCTAAAAAAGATGACGTGGATGAAGCTATGTTACAATGGATAAGTACTGCAACAGCAAAAGATCTACCTCTGTTGGGTAGTATTATTAGAGTAAAAGTAAAGCAGATTGAAGACACAATTGCCGCAAATAAAGATGCGATCAAGACAATTTGAACATTTATCCATTCCAGAGCAAACGCACGGGATGATATATTAAAATTAAATAAAATTACGTGTGTATATTCAAATCATTAAATACTTTGGAAATTTAAAGCAGAGTGGCAAAAAGTAAAAAATGTAACTGAATATTTAAAAAAAAAAAATATTTGGTAGAAAAACCAAAAAAAAAATGTTTTCTCTCTAACTCGAACTTTTTTGCCGTTCCCTTGACGATTCGAGTTAGAGGAATTTCACTGTAGTATATATAAAAAGAATTGAATATGACATGAAAATTCTAATTATCATTAAGCATACATATTTTTGTAATAGGTTTCTACTTCTCTTATTTCAAATCGTAAAATAATGAAAAAAAAAACACTTTTTTTAGGAGATAACCCCTTGTCTCTAATAGAAACATTGATGTCAAAGGTCTAAACCACGATCTATTTGTCAATAATAAAAATTCTGACGAATTTTTCAGTCAATATAGACCTGTAAATATTTATATGTATATATGTATGTCCATAATTCCAATGGATATCAGATTGTACTGGTAATATTAGTCAGTTCATTACTCAAATACTCCATTGATCCATTGACCTACAACTACAGTCGTAGTTGATTTCTAAGAGCAGACGGCACTACGGTCTATAATAATTCATCTTTTTAAACCATGAAAGCTTACCACCCTTTACAACAGCGGTTGCAACCATTATATCAACGACATTCGTAATCGTCTACCACTGATGGGACATCAGTATAAAGATTATTTTCAACAGACAGTTAAACGCAGCTGGCTTTAAATTTTAGATTCAAATACTCTTTTTTGGTACTCATATTTAAATGTTTATATGTTCAAAATTTCTTTGATTAACTTAAAGCGTTAATATGATGAAATTGGAAGTTCTCGATTTTCGGGCCGCCGTAATTTCACGACGAATTTTGTTAGAATCGGCCTTTCTGAGCCATACAACTTGATTCTCCAGTCATTGGGCTTAGATGTATGTACACCACTGGCATCATAATCGCACAATTAAATTGATTTAGTTTATAAATTACATTAATATATAAATATACATATATAACATTTGTAAACACATATCTATAAATATACCTTATTCCATGCTTCATTGATGTATCGTATCAATTCATCATGCTGTGTTAGTGGCTCGCGGGATACTGTGGATTGTGATGAATATGGTGTTGTGGTCGAATTCGAGTATTGTGAAGATGATGAGGAATAGTTGCGATGATTGTCAGAGTTGTGGTTATTATTCGACGTAGACGACAGTGAAGATGATGAAGATGAAGACAACGATGATGAGGACTGGTTATGATGTTGTTGTCCTTGACGGCGAAGGTATTGATAACGGCTATAGGTGGTCAGAAAAAAAAATATTTATTTAATTCAAATACACAACTAATATTCACATTTATTTTGTATATTAATGCATAAATATAGTTTTATTTAAAATTATATATTAAATTAACGGTCTCTAAATGTAATCCAGTTTTTAAGGCCTTCTACCCTAAAGCAAGCAAACAAAGGCCCATCAAGGGCCTTGACATTATTTTTGTGCATTGTTTCTGCTTCTCGAATTGCAGTTGTTATTCTTTTATTTATACTTACACTTTTGCTTGATGTTAATCATTTTCAGGCAAAATTCTGTATATTTTACTTTCACACTTTTACACTTTCACACAAAATTATAAATTTATTTACAATATAAAAGCCATCAACACAACAAACAGTTCCACAAAATAAATAAATAAAAACTTACCCATTATTGCGTTCCATTTTATCTGTTTTAATTTATTTTTGCAATAAAACACAAAGATATTGAATTTCAGAAGCTGCAAATAATGTACTGGAATTTATACAAACTTTGTTACTTGATTTTAAACAAAAATTATTGTCTTGTTTTACAAGCAGAAGCAAAATTAATGCTCTGCGGCGGTAAACACACACAAACAACCACTTTGCTTGCACCAATTTGCTATGTTGCACTTTCCGCTTTTCAGTTTCAGTTTATATTTTGGGCATTGCTTTTGGCCAACAACAAATCTTGGCGTTAGTGTTGCCAATAGTCGAATTTTCTGTTATAGGGTGCTTAAAAATGTAATCACAATTTGCAGAGTGTAAATATGCCAATTCATCCGCACTTTGATTTCGTATCATTGTAATATTCGTAAATTCTAAACAGGTTTGTGCACAAAGCGAGCCATCAAGTTGTAAAACAATAAACCAGTTTTAATACAAAATAAATTGAAATGAAAATGACTAGAAACTGCAGATTTACAATAGATAAGTGGCAATAAATTGCAAAGCTAAATAATAGTTAAACATACACAAATAGTGTATGTACAAAATTTAATTTTTACACATAATTTTAAAAATATTTAAAAAGCAATGAGTATAATTTTTTTTATACAATATACGTATCAATATTTTCTACAAAAACAGAAAATTATCATGACGAGTCACCCGTTATATATTTCAAGTCTTTATACAAATATTTTGCTAAGCGTGCATGTGTGTGTTTACTGTTTATGTTCATTTTTTATGTTGTGTTAGTGTAAACGCTGACCACTCTGCATTAAATTTCAAAGAATGCGAATAACAAGCGAAATGCAAAAATAATTGGGAGCATTTATTTCCAAAATAGAACAAATGAAAAAAAGCAATACGCTTAGTACTTTTATTTGAATGTTAAAAAAATAATTTATTACACTTTAATTGAAAAATTACGTTAGAGAATTTAGTAAATGCGTTGCCAAAATAATTATACTTGACGAAATGTAATTAATATTCAAAATATAGGCACAAAGCACTAAACATGAGAACGACACGACAACGAATAATGTTTAACAAGAATGAAAACAAAGGCGTACAAGCTGAAAAAAGAAATTGGCCAAAAGCATAGGAGAGAAAAAAGCTTATTTAGTTGGCAATGCTTTATTTTCGTTAATTTATTTTAACAAATTTAAAATACATTTGCAATTGGCCCTCCAAGGTATTTAACTGAATTTACTGCCCAAGTAGCATTGGTTGCAGTAAAGTTATTAAAAAAATAACTACATATTAATTTTACTGATATCAAGGGCAACAAACAATGTTTTAGTTATCAACATATTCTGTATAATTTTTATTTTCAGCGTAAATTGACTTAAAAACTACAAAAAAAAAAAAAAAACGTTTTGCCACAAAAAACGGAATCTAAAATATTGAACGTAGCTTCAAAAATTATTATAAAAAAAAAACGTAAAAGGATTTAGAACTTTGAACAGCGTTTGAAAGATGACAGCAGTATTTCCAAAACGCAATAATGATTTGCTCAATTTGTTCATACAACAATACGTGAACACATTTAAATATGAAACAAAATCAATTAAATACCAACCCTTCATATAAATCATATATCATAACAAATCATATATTTCCCACGGGTATTACGTAGTGAAGGACGTCGAATATATGGAGCAACCTCGATTCAACCGCGATTCAAATATGTAATTACATACGTCACTACAACTAAACAGATGCATAGAATCTTTTAAGACCTTTATCATCAATGTATATATACATATATATGTAACTATAAAGTAGTTATGTATTTCAATCGAACTATGCGGGTGCTTTCAAGGCTGGGCCTACGTCATACCCACTGATCCAGAGTGACAACCAAGTGTCGTTCAACACTTTCCAAAGGAATTACACACATAGATCTTGGGATTACACTAAAGTGCAGAACAAGTAAATGGAAGTTATCGAACAAAATACTAATTGATTGTGTAAACAAATTTGTAATTTACTTGACTATAATATAATAAAAACGAAGTAGTTCGATACTATAGATCATTATTATAAACGAGTGATTCTAGCATGTTAAGCTAAGAGCTTTAAAAAGAAATAACTTCAAGTCAATAAAAAACAAAAGTAAAATGGATTAAATGCATGTTTTCGATTTGTATGAAATGAAGAATGTATGGCCTTTCTCAGGTAGCTGACATCACTCTTATTAAAAGGAGGAAAAGAAGAGAATGAAAAAGCAAACGGTTTGAGCTGTCTTGGTGCTTTTCTAGATATATCCCTAAGAGTACCAGTTTATATTTACCTGGCGATCGTTAAGAGAAATACTAATCTCTACTTTCGTCAATTTGCCAATAACGAACACTTTGATCATGTATCACTTTCCGGTTAACATTACCCTTATATAACAGAATCAGTTATTGGAAACGCTTCAAAAGGACCGCGTGAATTTTGCAAGGCTTATTACAAGGAGCCCACACAGGAAAACTGAATTCCCTTTAATAATCATTGCAGAAGTTGTGGAAACTTACGAAAAAATAAACTATTAAGCATATTCTCTGTGAATATCTGGCTCTGGCCTCCAGAAAAAATATGTTTTGAGAGAAGTACAGTAAGGCTGAAAGACCAATTAAATCATCTAAATACGATGGGATGGATTTAGTTTGTCTTTTATATCCTAACATTTATTGCGAAGCATATTATAAAATATTGAAACAAATAAGTTAATTAAGCCTAAAAACTGTCAAAATATTGTTAAAATTCATTTTTATTAATAGATGAAAAAATCTACACTTCAAATACGTTTAAAAAAAAACTTGTAACTACAAGCTTATACCATATATATTTTAATAATGTAATCCTACATCAATTTTACAAAAACTATAACACAAACAAACTGTCACAAATAAATTATGTTTCAGAAGAAACTATATCTATACCTCCAAGGCTACTACCACCGATCCCATATTAATTTCACCATTCAAGGATGGCGGATCAAACAGGTTTTTCCAAGAACAGACAATCAATACAAACAGACAATCAATACGAACAGACAATCAATACAACAAAAGAAATATTGGATTAATACCTACGGGACAGAACACTTAAAATATAAGTATTCTGGCCCAATCAGTTTAAAAGTCTACATTTTATAGTAACGACTGAAAGATAAAGAATTGGAAAAATTTAGAATCACTATCAATAAGTGGATACTATAATAGTTATGGTAATAAGTTCATAGTTAGGTGCAAGCTGCCAGTAGACGTAAGGGTATAGGTCAAGTAATGGATTTTGATTACTTTAAGAAGAAAATAACATCTTCGAAAGAATATAAATTCGAAATTCCCGTACAAATACCTGAACCATCATGTAGAAGACTGTATAAAATTTATTTTGTAGCATAATAAGCATGTAACCATTAAAGCCTATTAGATCCGTATTTATAACACAGGTGCGACACCAATACTGATATATGCAATCGCAACTAGGACAGATATGAAGCTAAATACATTTGCGGCATCTAGAAGACAAATGTACACGTTGCTCCAGACAGCAGGAATCTTATTATGCAATGAATCAATGAAAATGCAAAATTAAAGATATTGTTAAGTGGAACAGGAAAAGAAGACAAGAACAGAATCTGCATGAGTAGAAGTAGGAAAACTACCAATCAGCCAACATTTTTATAAATGAAAAATGACCAATTCTATATGACACCACAATGACACCACAGAATGACCTTCAAAAAGATTGAAGTCTTATAAATTAAAAAATAATGTACTATCACTTATTATTAATATAGTAAATATAATTTTAAAAAATGTATATATTAATATAATTGTATAGTGATTTTTGTAATAAATGAATGTGAATTCTCAATAAAATTATTATAGAATATGACAAAGGTTATACATACTATATAAGTATGTATAAACTAAATATTATTGTGTTATTATATATTATATTACATTATATTATATTATATTATATTATATTATATTATATTATATTATATTATATTATATTATATTATATTATATTATATAATATAATGTTATCTATTATTAAAATATTATATATTATATTATATATTATTATAATATTATATATTATATTATATATTATTATAATATTATATATTATATTATATATTATTATAATATTATATATTATATTATATATTATTATAATATTATATATTATATTATATATTATTATAATATTATATATTATATTATATATTATTATAATATTATATATTATATTATATATTATTATAATATTATATATTATATTATATATTATTATAATATTATATATTATATTATATATTATTATAATATTATATATTATATTATATATTATTATAATATTATATATTATATTATATATTATTATAATATTATATATTATATTATATATTATTATAATATTATATATTATATTATATATATTATTATAATATATTATATTATATTATATTATATTATATTATATTATATTATATTATATTATATTATAATATTATAATCACAATGCCCTATATTGTGATGGCCCTAGTAAGCGCGGGTAAACGGCGAGTGTAACTATGTCTCTCTAAAATTAGCCAAATGCCTTATCATCTAATTAGTGACGCGCATGAATGGATTAACGAGATTCCTTCTGTCTCCATCATGTATTGCAGGCAGGTAATCACGTAAAACACATAAAGACTTTGTCTGCATCATGTATTGCAGGCAGGTAATCACGTAAAACACATAGGGACTTTGTCTGCATCATGTATTGCAGGCAGGTAATCACGTAAAACACATAGAGACTTTTGTCTCCATCATGTGTAGCATCAAACCGGGTGCTACATCCCACATTGTAGCAGAGGTTATAGGTAGGCCCCGCATTATACCAAGATGGAAGTTATGAACTATACACATTTCTTCTTGTAACCTGCGGAATTGAAGCCAGTTCCAAAAGGGGCGCTTAATTGACAGCTTTGTATCAAAGACGTTTTGCTTTTGAAGTAACGTGATTAGACCATTGCAGGCAGGTAATCACGTAAAAACACATTAGAGACTTGTCTCTATCATGGTGTAACAACAAACCAGGGTGCACTCCCACATTGTAGCAGAGATTTAGATGTTCTCAACATCTAACCAAATTGAAAGTTAATACATGCCGTGAATTTTCTTTAGTTTGGTAACCGGCGAAATCAGAATGCATTCCAATGGGGCGTTGTTTTACGCTTAAATTAATACGTATATTAGTTTTTACATTTTTATATGTACGATAGCCAAATCATACAATTTTTTACTTTAAATAATTTTTCCATAACTCATATGAGTTTTTACATTTTTATATGTACGATAGCCAAATCATACAATTTTTGACTTTAAATAATTTTTCCATAACTCATATGAGTTTTTACATTTTTATATGTACGATAGCCAAATGATACAATTTTTGACTTTAAATGATTTTTCGATTACCCATATGATTTTGTACATTTTAACATGTACGATAGCCAAACCATACAATTTTGGACTTTAAATAATTTTTCCATAACTCATATGAGTTTTTACATTTTTATATGTAAAATACGATAGCCAATTCATATAATTTTTGACTTTAAATTATTTTTCGATTACCCATATTATTTTGTACATTTTAACATGTACGATAGCCAAACCATACAATTTTTGACTTTAAATAATTTTTCCATAACTCATATGAGTTTTTACATTTTTATATGTAAAATACGATAGACAATTCATATAATTTTTGACTTTAAATTATTTTTCGATTACCCATATGATTTTGTACATTTTAACATGTACGATAGCCAAACCATACAATCTTTGACTTTAAATAATTTTTCCATAACTCATATGAGTTTTTACATTTTTATATGTAAAATACGATAGCCAATTCATATAATTTTTGACTTTAAATTATTTTTCGATTCCCCATATGATTTTGTACATTTTAACATGTACGATAGCCAAACCATACAATTTTTGACTTTAAATAATTTTTCCATAACTCATATGAGTTTTTACGT